CTGCGCCTCCTCTGCCGAGGGTCCGGCTTCAATTTTGGGAGCTACTCCATGTACTGGATGCGCCAGAGACCCGGGCAGGGGCTGGAATACGTGGCAGGGATCTACAGCACTGGTGGCACCACCAACTACGCGCCCTCAGTCAAGGGCCGGTTCAGGATCTCCAGGGACAACGGGCAGAGCTCGGTGACGCTGACCATGAACAGCCTCAAGGACGAGGATTCCGGATCCTATTTCTGCGCCAAAGAGGCTGGTGCTGGTAGTTGGATTGCTGCTGCTGATGGTGAAGATGCTCCTGGTGGATCCCTGGCCCCATCTCAGTGTCCCCGCCTGTCCCCAGAGCCTGGATCGTTCCCCCAAACCTCAGCCCTTGACCCTTTGTCTCAAGTCTCCCCAATTTTCACCAATGCTGAGCTCTGACCCCAAACCCCTGAATGTTTCTGCCCAAAACCCAACTGGTTTGGCACCATAATTCACCCGATTCTGCCCCAAATCTCCACTTTGGGCTCCCAGCCAGAGCTGCTGACACAAATCCTCAATGTTTTTCCCCAAATCTAGAACCTTGGCCTAGAGATGGGGAAGAGGGGATGGAAAGCTCAGGTGGAGGCGTCCCATTCATTAATGTGTGGATTGAGGGTAATTTAATGGTTTGGGGCACCTTTAGGGTGCAGGAAAACTCTGGTGGAGATGTGGGACAAAATCAGGGGACTTTGGGAAAAACCAGAGAAGGTTTCGGGATGTGGGAGCGGCCGTGACCCTGCTGGAGTGCGGGGGGGACCTCCAGCCCCCCGGGGGGTCCCTGCGCCTCCTCTGCCGAGGCTCCGGGTTCAGTTTCGGCAGTTTTGGGATGGGCTGGATGCGCCAGAGACCCGGGCAGGGACTGGAATGGGTCGCAGGGATCAGCAGCACCGGTGGTGACACCAGATACGCACCGTCGGTGCAGGGCCGGTTCACGATCTCCAGGGACAACGGGCAGAGCTCGGTGACGCTGACCATGAACAACCTCAAGGACGAGGATTCCGGATCCTATTTCTGTGCCAAAGCTGCTGATTCTGACGCTTATCTTTATGCTGCTCATGGTTATTGTTTCGGCCCCATCCCTGTCACCGTGTTCCCCCTGTCCCCGTGCCCCAGACCCTTCCCTGCAGCCCCTGACCCCATTCCTGACCCTCTGTCCCACCCTGGCTCTGCTCTGGCCCCAAATCTCAGCTCCTGGCCCCAAATCAGGGCCGCTTTCACCCTCAGCTCAGCCTTGGCCCCCAAATCCCAACCACTGCCCCCAGACTTGGCCACTTCTGCCCCAAATCTGCCCGGCTGGCACCGAGTCACAGCCACCGACCCAAACCTGCCCCGGTGGCCTCACATCGGGACTTTTGGCACATAATTTGAATTCTTGACTCCTCACCTCAACCCCTGACCCAAATCTTGACCAATTCGATGTAATTTGGGGAAGGAGGGCAGTGGGTGTGGCCCAGAGGTGACATTTGGGGCAGAGCCAGTGCAGGGCTGGGACAACGGGTCAGGAGTGGGGTCAGGGCTGGGGTTTGGCGCAGAAATAGGATCCGGAATCCTCGTCCTTGAGGTTGTTCATGGTCAGCGTCACCGAGCTCTGCCCGTTGTCCCTGGAGATCGTGAACCGGCCCTTGACCGAGGGCGCGTAGCCGGTGTAAGCACCATTGCTGTTGATACTTGCGACGTATTCCAGCCCCTGCCCGGGTCTCTGGCGATACCAGCCCATCCCAAAACTGCCGAAACTGAACCCGGAGCCTCGGCAGAGGAGGCGCAGGGACCCCCCGGGGGGCTGGAGGTCCCCCCCGGACTCCAGCAGGGTCACGGCCGCCCGGAGCCCTGCGGGGAAAAGGGGAGATGGAGATGAGGGGTTGGAAAGGTCAGGAAGAGATGTCCAATTAATAAATGAGTGGATTGGGAGGAATTGCAGGGTTTGAGGCCTTTTTTGATACTGGAAAGCTCTGTTGGAGATTCAGGGCCAGAAGAGAGTTCGGTAGAAAACCAGAGAAGGTTTGGGGGATGTGGGAGCGGCCGTGACCCTGCTGGAGTCCGGGGGGGACCTCCAGCCCCCCGGGGGGTCCCTGCGCCTCCTCTGCCGAGGCTCCGGGTTCGATTTTGGGAGTTTTGACATGTTATGGATCCGCCAGAGACCCGGGCAGGGGCTGGAATACATCGCTGATATCAGCAATGGTGGCACCACCAGATACGCGCCGTCGGTCAAGGGCCAGTTCACGATCTCCAGGGACAACGGGCAGAGCTCGGTGACGCTGACCATGAACAACCTCAAGGACGAGGATTCCGGATCCTATTTCTGCGCCAAAAACGCTTACGATGGTGGTGGTTGGGAAGCTCATGCTGGTTCTTTTTCTGGCCATGTCCCCATCAATGTGTCCCCACCTGTCCCCAAATCCCCGATTATTCCCTCTAACCCTTGACCCCACTGCTGACCCCCACAGACCCAAATCTGCCCCAGTGTCCCCAAATCTCGACCATTTGCTCCAAGGTTTGGGGCCCTTGGTCGAGACGTGGAGCCAGCAGCTGAGGTTTGGAGCCAGCAGCGGAGATTTGGGGCAGAACCAGCTGAGTTTGGTGCCAATGGTCACAAGTGAACCCCGCTGAGATCTGGGGCACCAACGGCAGAGTTTGGGGGTGAACCTTTGAGATTTGGGTCAAATGAGAAATCCTGCAGAGAAATGTGAGGGTGGAGGCAATGATGGCAGATTTTGGGTTAAAACAATCAAGATTTGATGACAAAGGTAACGATTGTGGGAATTTTGAGATCTTAGTGGGCTAAGCATCAGTGGGTGGAGCCATTATTGACGCTGTCACCACGACCAGCATAAATATTAGGACCACAACCACTGGTGGAACATTTGGCACAGAAATAGGATCCGGAATCCTCGTCCCTGAGGTTGTTCATGGTCAGCGTCACCGAGCTCTGCCCGTTGTCCCTGGAGATCGTGAACCGGCCCTGCACCGACGGCGCGTAGGCAGTGCTGGTTCCAGTGTTCCAGATCCACGCGACGAATTCCAGCCCCTGCCTGGGTCTCTGGCGGATCCAGAACATGTCGTAGCTCCCGAAATCAAAGCCGGACCCTCGGCAGAGGAGGCGCAGGGACCCCCCGGGGGGCTGGAGGTCCCCCCCGGACTCCAGCAGGGTCACGGCCGCCCGGAGCCCTGCGGGGAAAAGGGGAGATGGGGATGAGGGGATGGAAAACTCAAGTGGAAGCGTCCCATTCATTAATGAGTGGAGTGAGGTTAATTGAAAGTTTTGGAGCACCTTAGGATACAGAAAAGCTCTGGTGGAGATTTGGGATAAAATCAGGGGAGTTTGGGGCAAAACAGAGAAGATTTTGGGACGGGGGAGCGGCCGTGACCCTGCTGGAGTCCGGGGGGGACCTCCAGCCCCCCGGGGGGTCCCTGCTCCTCCTCTGCCAAACCTCTGGCTTTGATTTTGGCAGTTTTGGGATGGTGTGGATTCGCCAGAGCTCCGGGCAGGGGCTGCAATGGGTGGCAGGGATCAACAGTGACGCCTCCAGCACCGGCTACGCGCCGTCGGTCAATGGGCGTTTCGTGATCTCCAGGGTCAAGGAGCAGAGCTCGGTGACGCTGACCATGAACAACCTCAAGGACGAGGATTCCAGATCCTATTTCTGTGCCAAATGTGCTGATGCTGGTTGGGGTGCTGCTGATTGACCCCGTTGCTGTCACCGTGTCCCCCCTGTCCCCGTGCCCCAGACCCTTCCCTGCAGCCCCTGACCCCATTCCTGACCCTCTGTCCCACCCTGGCTCTGCTCTGGCCCCAAATCTCAGCTCCTGGCCCCAAATCAGGGCCGCTTTCACCCTCGTTGGTCGAGTTCCAGGCCGGGGATCCTGGCAGAGGGGCCGGGTCCAGCTCAGGAGCCAAAATGGCCCCGAGAGGGCCCCGAGCTGAGGTTTGGGGCCAGGAGCTGAGAATTTGGGGCAGGGCTGGGACAACGGGTCAGGAGTGGGGTCAGGGGCTGGGGTTTGGGGGAAGGGTTTTGGGAAAATGGAGAGAGGTTGGAACATGGGGAGAGGGACGGGGCCAAAACCATGAGCAGCATTATAATTTCCACTACCAGTGGTTTTGGCGCAGAAATAGACGGCGGAATCCTCGTCCCTGAGGTTGTTCATGGTCAGCGTCACCGAGCTCTGCCCGTTGTCCCTGGAGATCGTGAACCGGCCCTTGACCGATGGCGCGTACCAGGTGCTGCCACCAGTGTTGATGCTCCCGACCCACTCAAGCCCCTGCCCAGGTCTCTGGCGAACCCAATCCATTTCAAAATTCCCAAAACTGAACCCGGACCCTCGGCAGAGGAGGCGCAGGGACCCCCCGGGGGGCTGGAGGTCCCCCCCGCACTCCAGCAGGGTCACGGCCGCCCGGAGCCCTGCGGGGAAAAGGGGAGATGGGGATGAGGGGATGGAAAGCTCAGGTGGATGTGTCCAAATTCATTAATGAGAGGAGTGAGGTTAATTGAACGGTTTGGGGCACCGTAGGATTCAGGAAAACTCTGGTTGAGATTTGGGACAAAACCAGGGGAGTTTGGGGAAAAGCAGCGAAGGTTTGGGGATGGGGGAGCGGCCGTGACCCTGCTGGAGTCCGGGGGGCACCTCCAGCCCCCCGGGGGGTCCCTGCGCCTCCTCTGCCGAGGCTCCGGCTTCAATTTTGGGGATTTCAACATGGGCTGGATGCGCCAGAGACCCGGGCAGGGGCTGGAGTTCGTGGCTGGGATCAGCAACAACGGGGGCAACACCTGGTACGCGCCGTCGGTGCAGGGCCGGTTCAGGATCTCCAGGGACAACGGGCAGAGCTCGGTGACGCTGACCATGAACAACCTCAAGGACGAGGATTCCGGATCCTATTTCTGCACCAAGGGTGTTTACAGTTGTTGTGCCGCTTCTGCTCCTGATGTCCAGAACTCAAATTTTGGGCCAAAAGTCCCGATGTGAGGCCAGGTTTGGGTCGGTGGCTGTGACTCGGTGCCAGCCGGGCAGATTTGGGGCAGAAGTGGCCAAGTCTGGGGGCAGTGGTTGGGATTTGGGGGCCAAGGCTGAGCTGAGGGTGAAAGCGGCCCTGATTTGGGGCCAGGAGCTGAGATTTGGGGCCAGAGCAGAGCCAGGGTGGGACAGAGGGTCAGGAATGGGGTCAGGGGCTCCATTTGGTAGAAGAACCTGAGATACGGGGACAGGGGGGGACACAGTGATGGTGCTGGCGCCAATACCATAGGCATCATTAGCACCACCACCCCTGGCACAGAAATAGGATCCGGAATCCTCGTCCTTGAGGTTGTTCATGGTCAGCGTCACCGAGCTCTGCCCGTTGTCCCTGGAGATCGTGAACCGGCCCTGCACTGAGGGCGCGTAGTAGATGTAAGCACCACTGTAGCTGATCCCTGCGAGCCACTCCAGCCCCTGCCCGGGTCTCTGGCGCATCCACTGCATGGCATAACTCCCGAAACTGAACCCGGAGCCTCGGCAGAGGAGGCGCAGGGACCCCCCGGGGGGCTGGAGGTCCCCCCCGCACTCCAGCAGGGTCACGGCCGCTCCCTCACCTCCAAACCTTCACTGGTTTTGTACCAAACTCTCTTTGTCTGGACCCCAATTTCTACCGGAGCCTTCCAGTATCGCAAAATATTCTAAACCCTGCAATTAGGCCAAATCCATTCATTTATTAATTGGACACCTCAGCCTGAGCTTTCCATCCCCTCATCCCCATCTCCCCTTTTCCCCGCAGGGCTCCGGGCGGCCGTGACCCTGCTGGAGTCCGGGGGGGACCTCCAGCCCCCCGGGGGGTCCCTGCGCCTCCTCTGCCGAGGCTCCGGGTTCAGTTTCGGCAGTTTTGGGATGGGCTGGTATCGCCAGAGACCCGGGCAGGGGCTGGAATACGTCGCAAGTATCAACAGCAATGGTGCTTACACCGGCTACGCGCCCTCGGTCAAGGGCCGGTTCACGATCTCCAGGGACAACGGGCAGAGCTCGGTGACGCTGACCATGAACAACCTCAAGGACGAGGATTCCGGATCCTATTTCTGTGCCAAACGTGCTTATGCTGATGGTTATGGTGGTGCTGCTGTGGTTGAACATTTTGATCCCTTCCATGTCCCCACCTGTCCCCGTGCCCCAGACCCTTCCCCCAAACCCCAGCCCTTCACCCCACTCCTGTCCCCCTGTCCCAGCTCTGAATTCATTCAGCCCCAAATCTTCTCCATTTTCCCCCAAATTCTCAGCTCTCAGCCCCACCTCTTCACCGCTGGTGCCAATTTTTGTGGCAAACCCTCAGGCCTGGGTGCCCGCAGCAGCCGGGGTTTGGTGCCAGGGGTGCAGATCTGGGGCTGCCCCAGAGGGATTTATCCCCGGCCGGGCTCTCTGTCCCAATCCTGGCGGGACGGGGCTGCTGGGAACGCCTCTGGAGCTGTTTGGTTTTCCAGCACGGCTCTGGTCCCGCGGCTGTGGCACTGGGAAGGCGCCAGCAGCTCTCGTGCCCGGCCGCAGACACAGAACTCGCTGTGACAACTGACTGCAGGAGATTTTGGACAAACCACGCAAAGAAAAATCAGATTTTCATGCTGGCCTGAGATCTGGCCCATCGTCAGCAATTCTGGGGAACTTGGCTGAGACTTGGAGCCAGCAGGGCAGATTTGGGGCAGGAGCAGTTCAGGGTTGGGACACGGGGACAGGAACGGGGTCACGGGTTTGGGGGAAGGGTGTGGGGCACAGGGGACAGTGAGAACACGGTGAAGGGTACAGGGTCAAAACGATCAGCAGCAGCACCATAAGCGTAGTAACCAGCAGCAGCTCTGGCACAGAAATAGGATCCGGAATCCTCGTCCTTGAGGTTGTTCATGGTCAGCGTCACCGAGCTCTGCCCGTTGTCCCTCGAGATCCTGACCGAGCCCTTGACCGATGGCGCGTACCTGGTGCTACCACCACTGCTGCTGATCCCCGCGAGCCACTCCAGCGCCTGCCCGGGTCTCTGGCGGACCCAGCACATGGAGGAGCTCCCCAAATCGAACCCGGAGCCTCGGCAGAGGAGGCGCAGGGACCCCCCGGGGGGCTGGAGGTCCCCCCCGGACTCCAGCAGGGTCACGGCCGCCCGGAGCCCTGCGGGGAAAAGGGGAGATGGGGATGAGGAACGGGGTCGGTCGAGGCCTCGCAGTGAGTGTGGCCAGATCCGGAGAAATGGGGTAGGACCCACGTGGGAGGTCGGCAGGGCGAGCAGGATGACAAGAAAACGTCACAATTTGGGGTCAAGAGCCAAGATTTTTGGTCAGTGGTGGAGTTTTGCCGACCCCATCTCCCCTTTTTCCCGCAGGGCTCCGGGCGGCCGTGACCCTGCTGGAGTCCGGGGGGGACCTCCAGCCCCCCGGGGGGTCCCTGCGCCTCCTCTGCCGAGGCTCCGGGTTTGATTTTGGCAGGTATGACCTGCACTGGATCCGCCAGAGACCCGGGCAGGGGCTGGAATTCGTCGCTGCGATCGACAGCAATGGCGGTACCTCCTACGCTCCGTCACTGCGGGGCCGGGTCAGGATCTCCAGGGACAACGGGCAGAGCTCGGTGACGCTGACCATGAACAGCCTCAGGGACGAGGATTCCGGATCCTATTTCTGCGCCAAAGAGTCTGGTGCTTACATCGCTGACGGCGCTCTGGAATCTGTTGGCCTCAATCCTGTCCCCGTGTCCCCACCTGTCCCCATTCCCCAGAACCTTCCCTGCAACCCTTGACCCCACTGCTGGCCCCGACACACCCAAACCTGCCCCATTGTCCCCAAATCTCGACCATTTGCACCGAGGTTTGGGGCCCTTGGTCGAGACGTGGAGCCAGCAGCTGAGGTTTGGAGCCAGCAGCGGAGATTTGGGGCAGAACCAGCTGAGTTTGGTGCCAATGGTCACAAGTGAACCCCGCTGAGGTCTGGGGCACCAACGGCAGAGTTTTGGGGGTGAACCTTTGAGATTTGGGTCAAATGAGAAATCCTGCAGAGAAATGTGAGGGTGGAGGCAATGATGGCGGATTTTGGGTTAAAACAATCAAGATTTGATGACAAAGGTAACGATTGTGGGAATTTTGAGATCTTAGTGGGCTAAGCATCAGTGGGTGGAGCCATTATTGACGCTGTCACCACGACCAGCATAAATATTAGGACCACAACCACTGGTGGAACATTTGGCACAGAAATAGGATCCGGAATCCTCGTCCCTGAGGTTGTTCATGGTCAGCGTCACCGCCGGGTCTCTGGCGCATCCAGCCCATCCCAAAACTGCCGAAACTGAACCCGGAGCCTCGGCAGAGGAGGCGCAGGGACCCCCCGGGGGGCTGGAGGTCCCCCCCGGACTCCAGCAGGGTCACGGCCGCCCGGAGCCCTGCGGGGAAAAGGGGAGATGGGGATGAGGCAACAGATCCGAGCAATCCATTTCAGTTTTGGGAAGAACCAAGCGAGGGTTTGGTGTCTTTGGTCAATGTTGGTTCAAATGCATGAGACTTGGGACAAAGGGTCAAGGGTTGGGGTTTGGGGGAAGGATCTGGGCTTTGGGGACAGGTGGGGACACCACCAGCATCGTCAATATAACCAGCAATGCTCCAACAGCCCGGACAGTCGGTTTTGGCGCAGAAATAGGATCCGGAATCCTCGTCCTGGAGGTTGTTCATGGTCAGCGTCACCGAGCTCTGCCCGTTGTCCCTGGAGATCCTGAACCGGCCCTTGACTGACGGCGCGTATTCGGCGCTGACGCCGAGGTTGGTGATCCCAGCCACCACCTCCAGCCCCTTGCCCGCTCTCTGGCGCACCCAGCCCATGGCGAATTGCCCAAAGTCAAAGCCAGACCCTCGGCAGAGGAGGTGCAGGGACCCCCGGGGTGTGTGGGGGCTGCTCTGAGAGTTTGGGTTCAAGGAATGGGAAAGGGACGAGTTTAGAGTCAGAGCCGTTCAAAGATTCTGCAAGAAGTGGAGCCGGATCAGCCTCATCCTCCTCTTCATCCTAACACTCTGAGGGCCACGCCCAGATCCATCCCCTCATCCCCATCTCCCCTTTGTGCCGCAGGGCTCCGGGCGGCCGTGACCCTGCTGGAGTCCGGGGGGGACCTCCAGCCCCCCGGGGGGTCCCTGCGCCTCCTCTGCCGAGGGTCCGGGTTCAATTTCGGGAGTTACGACATGGACTGGGTGCGCCAGAGGCCCGGGCAGGCGCTAGAACTCATCGCTTGGATCAGGAATGATGGTGGCAACACCTGGTACGCGCCCTCGGTCAAGGGCCGGGTCAGGATCTCCAG